ATAGGTAGATGAGATTATTAGTATGGGATAAAAGGGTAAAGAGATAAACTTGTTTTAGATCTGTGAGTATGAATCAGATCAGGAGGTTAGTTTTAGATCCGGGAATATGGATTAGGTAATGAGGTAAATTTTAGATCCAGGAGTACGGATTATGTATTTTTGAACTATATGTGCATTTGATAAGGTATCATGTGTATAGTCCCTTTTTTGATTAAAGTATGAAATATATATATATATATATATATATATATGTGTGTGTGTGTGTGTGTGTGAAATATTTGCTATTGCTCAAAACATGTGTTATATGTATAATTGATGATATACAACATGCAAATAAGTTATGGTCCAATATGTGTTAAGATGTGTATATATGATATTATTACTTAAAACTTTGTGTTAAGTATACACAAATTAGCGTTTCCTAAACGGAGATAGTATCCGAAATTGATTATAAGTATTGTAGGTTTGCCTAGTGATGGGTTAAGACTTAAATGGGATGTTTAGTTCAATTAAGATTGGACTTTGGGTAGTCTCTTATTAAGAGTACGTGTGGGGTGAGATTGATGGTCGGTGGAGTACGTAGAAGTACATTTTATGTACAAAGTCCTTTTAAAAGCTCTATGTCTTGGGTGTTTCTTGTGCCAAGGTACTATTATGTTCTCGGGTACAAGTCCTTCACATACCAGAGTACTATAACGTGCCAGAAGTACTATCATGTACAAAGTCTTTTGACAATTTTGTGTGTCGGTTACGGGAGTGTACGGGAGTACTCTAGTAGTATTTCCCCATACTTTTATTTTGAGAGAGCTTTGGAGTCAACGTTTCTTTTATGAAATGATCAACTGAGCTTCATATGTCAGCGTTTTCTTTCATGAAGTAATTAAGGGAACTTCGTAGACTACCTAATAAAGTGTGTCGGTAATAGACCACTACTAGGTATGTCTGGTGTTATATTGTTGGATATGGTGCGTTTGGGGGTGAAATACCTCATGATATTCAGGCCACTGCTAGGCAAAGTTCGATGGTATGATAGGTAGAGTCTGGGGGTATAATACCTCATGATAGTCGAGCCACGCCTAGGCATTTGTATCTAGATAACTACCTTGACTTAAAATTTCTTGTGGTTCTTTCTTTTACGAACAAAGGTTCGTGGTGAAACTTATTCCATTCCCCTCATTTGATGTCTTTATTGATCCTCGTTTGTTGCCAGGGAATTTCCGATGCAGCTTCGTCAGTTTGTGGTTCATATCGATTCCTTAGGCTAGATCTCGTAAGATCATTGTATAGGGTTAGTATGTGGGGATCAACGGAATGGGATATATTGTTTTAAAAATATGATTTATATGTGTTTATAATATTAGTGGTTTTGCAGGATCGAGATCTACTTTATTATCACATTGTTTGAACTAAGAGCTTTCGTACTTTGTGTTCCTTAGGTGATTAGGTTCACCAGGGATACTCAAAAGTGTTCATTAGATATTTGAACTTAGTGTTCATCAGGGATATTTGAATTAAGTGTTCATTAAGTGTTTGTGAACTAGGTGTTCATTGGTAACATTGGAACTAAGTGTTCATTAGGTGTTCTTGAACTAGGCGTTCATTAATTATTGTGAACTGCGTGTTCACCAAAGGTAATCTAAGAACCTTGGCAGCACTAGTCTTTGTGCCAGTTCCTTAGGGCAATCCTTAGGAATGAATGGGAAAAGGGTAATCGGTTCTTAGGATAAATCTTTAAGAAATAAATGGAGATAATGGGGTAATTGGATTGATTGTTTGATAATTGAATATAATAATTATATTATTGTGGGTTGAAAACCCTATATGCTCACCAGACTCCCAAACCTGACTCTCTCAGTTTTCTTTGTATTACAGGTTATGGTACGAGAGCATAAGTTGGCTAACATAACAAGAGATTTTGGATTATAGACCACTAGTTATGAATAACTGTTGTAAGGTCTATTTGTTCTGTTTATGCTTTTGGTCTGTATTGAACATGACATCCGGAGATTTTGTTATATAATGAAAATACATTTATTTAAAGAAATGCTTTGATAAATTCTTATCATATTTTGTTTTGAGAACAAATTCCGCAACTTTTTCTTTAAAAGATTACTCTGATTTTAAAAACAAAGCATAAACAAATCGGTCTTTTCTGACCGTGAAATTAGGGATGTCACACGAGTCTCTTCTACAATTAACTCATGGACAACATAATCAATTGAGGGAAGAGGAGAGCGATGAAGAATTGTTCCATGTAGACCTTCAAAATCAGACCGCAAGGCCATCAAGAACTGGACCATTTGTTGTTCTTCCCTCCTCACAATGTAAGGCTCAAAATCTTTTAACTCTTTAGATTCAATAAGAGCCAATTGATCCTACAGATCAGACATAGCAGCATAAAAACCTTGAATACTCTGGTTATTTTGTTGAAGGGCACAAATATCATATTATAACTGGTATTGTTTAGCAAAGTTAGACTGAGTATACAGTCTCTCCAAGTGATTCCAAACTTCCTTTGATGTGTCATACTTAGCCAATTGCATACCAATGGACTAAGTAACAGAGTTATTAATCTAAGTAATGACCTTGGAGTTATCAATCTCCCAAGCATCAAGCAACAAATCAAAATTCTCAGTTTGAGGCACTGAGGGTTTGACTTTAGTCCCAGTGACATAGCACCACATATCCTTCCTACGAAGGAAGTTCTTCATAATGTAACTCTAATACGTATAATTATTTCCATCTAGACGAGTATTGATTGACCGAAGAGAAACATCCTTTCCAGTCATGTTGACAATGAGCGGATAACTACAATAGCAGTATAGCAATCTGAGAATGAAAGGAGTAACAAACCATCGGAAGCAATCAATCGGACAACGAATCAACAGCAACAACGAATAAACAAATCAACGACGAATACCATCTATAACAACAGCAATCTGGGCCACAGATGTATACTATAAGGACTTCTAACAACGTATCAAACATTCGCGCTGATACCATGATAGCATTGTCATACGAATATAATAAAGAGAAATTATAAGGGTTCTCAATGGAAAGCATAAAGACTACAAAGAATAAAGCGATATATAAATACTAGCTGGACAAAACCCTAATGGGCTAAAGATTAAAGAGCCCATAAACAAGTGTGCTAATAATATACAGACTAACAAATTTCTCCCGCTCCTTCCTTGGTGAGTGGTGGTCCTCGTTGTCCATGAATAAAGATCACTTGAGAATAAGAAGAAAAAGAAGGAAATAGTAGGAGATTAGCTTCAGAATATACCCTCCATCAAAAAAGGGTATTCCAGCAAAGTCGATGCCTTTGAAGTTAGGATTCTAGTAGATATGATGATGGTCGTTGTGGTTGAAGTTTTTGGGTGGGGTGGGGTATTGATCAACATGAAATGGGTGGTGGTGTTGGATGATGGCGTCCGGGAGGATGCGGGAGAGAGATGATGACTTAGGTGGGGTGGGTGGATGAGTTATTTTTTTAAATAAAATAATAAGAAAATAATTTACATAAATTTAAAAAGAACTATTTTAGGACATATCCACCATTTTGGATCGGCTATCAACAATACCACAAAAAAAAATTATAATCATAAGGACCAAATCATAAGAACCATTGATACACTATTTAAAAAAAAAAAAAAAAAAAAAAAAAAAAAAAAGACCAAAAATACATTTTTTTTACAAGCACAGTAACCATTTTTGCAATTTTGTCCGACTATTAAGTTGTGTTGCTCCTTGATCATTAAACTTTCTATACGTTTATGTGAATGAAAAGTTGACCAAAACAGTCGTGATTAATGTAGTATTAAATAAGTGGCTCGTGTTGAATTTGCGTTCGTAAATACACAAAGCGTGTTGTGCTCTGACGATAAAATCCAAAAGAAAACGCACAACATACTGGTCTTCTTCTTCTTCAACTCTTTCCATGAATCATCGAAGAAATTTTGCACCATTGACGAACAACTTCACGTCTTCTTCTCTCTAATTTCGTTACCTTTATCCTTGTGTGATTGTGTCCTACGCTGTTTTATTTTCATCACAAAAAATGGTTGCATCGGTTGTCTATTAAAACTGTAAAAGAAACAAGACTTCGTCAGATCGTGGACTGGAAAACACAGCAAGTAAAAGCTCGCATAAAGGAAAAAGGTGCGTCTTCAACTTCAACTTTTTCTGTTTCTCTGTTTATACTCCTGTTCTACGAGGTTGGGTGTTGATAATTGGCTAGTTTTATACATAAACACATATAGATGTCACAATTGAGCTCTGATTTGAAGAATTAGATGTGGGTTATTGATTTCTTGTTGTATGATCGCAGTTTTGGTTTGAAGTTTTGACTTTTTCTTTGTTCAAGGAAAGCTGCTATGTATTTTGGGATTTTTTTTATTGATTCTTCAATTACAAAGTCCATCTGTTTCTATTTTATTTTAATTTATCTCTTTACTTTTAATGGAATTTTGAATAATTCTGATATTGGAGTAGTTATTATTGGTGTTCTCCGTTCCAAAAAAAAAGTTGTTGGTGTTCTTGGAAGATTTTGAGTATTTTATGAACTCTGTTTTCAGTTTGACTTTTGAGGTAAAACGTCTGTTGCGAGAAATTCAAAATAATACACCAGGATATCTGTTAATGAAGTATAAACATCATCCCTTTTGCTAAGGATTCTTGCTGTTTCAGTTGATTCTCCCCTTTTACCTCAAGAGATTTGATTCTTCCTACTTTTTTTTCTCATAAAGCTATATGCAGACCTTTTTGGAATCCCTTTCGCTGTTGTCAAAGATTCAATTCTTATTCTCTCAATATTCATGTGTTTCCGAATCCTATTAGTTATCCATTTGAAATTTTGCTTATGAAAAGATTGAAACTGCTTCATATTCCTGGATTCTTCAAGATAAATAAATGAATGAATTATTTGATACAGGTTTACAATCAAGAATCAAGCACCCTCCACCTGTTTGTAAAAAGTCCTCTAAGAAGAATCTCAAAAAATGAACAACCTAAAGCTAGGAGTCGAGGTCGCAAGCGCCCATGACCTAATCCCAAAAGATGGTCAAGGTTCTGCTAGCCCATACGTCGAGCTTCATTTCGATCATCAGAAATTCCGAACAACGATCAAAGAGAAAGATCTTAACCCTTATTGGAACGAAACTTTCTACTTCAACATTTCAGATCCCAACAACCTATCCAATCTCACACTCGACGCATACATCTACAACAATATCAAAGGAAACAACTCAAGCTCAAACTCAAACTCAAAATCCTTCATGGGTAAAGTTCACATCAACGGAACATCATTCGTACCTTATTCAGACGCTGTCGTTTTCCATTACCCTTTAGAAAAACGAAGCTTTTTGTCACGCGTAAAAGGCGAACTCGGCCTTAAAGTTTTCATCGTCGATAACCCTTCAATCAGATCCTCAAATCCAATCCCTCAAATGGAAACCTCTTCCCATGGGCGTAAAGAAAGAACATTTCATCATCTCCCAAACCCTAATTTCCAACAACAACAACAACCTCAGTTTCCTTCACAGCAACAACCATACATGGCATCCATGAATCAGCCAGAAGGACAACAATACGAATACGAAGACATGAGAAATCTAAACCAAAGTCAAATTCAAAGTCAACCAAAAGTCGTCCGGATGTACTCCGGTTCATCAGCACAACCACTAGAATACTCCATCAAAGAAACAAACCCGGTTCTTGGAGGTGGACAGGTCATCGGGGGTAGAGTTGTAAATTCAGACAGAAGGCGAGCGAGCACTTACGACCTAGTCGAGCCTATGCAGTTTCTCTTCGTTCGCGTCGTGAAAGCACAAGACCTTCCGAGCAAGGACGTCACCGGAAGTCTCGACCCTTACGTCGAAGTAAGAATCGGAAACTACAAAGGAATCACACAACACTTTTCCAAAACATCAAACCCGGAATGGAATACAGTTTTCGCATTCTCAAAAGAAAGAATGCAAGCATCTGTATTAGACGTTGTGGTGAAAGATAAAGACGTGATAAAAGACGATTTCGTCGGAAGCGTTCAAGTGAATCTTCACGATATTCCGACCCGGGTCCCACCCGATAGCCCGTTAGCTCCGGAATGGTATCGACTTGAAGACAAAAAAGGGGAAAAAAAGAAAGGCGAATTAATGCTTGCTGTATGGATCGGAACTCAAGCCGATGAAGCTTTTCCCGATGCTTTTCTTCTAGATGCAGCCATGAGTAATGTCGATAGTTCAGTTTCTTCAATGTTCACTCGCTCAAAAGTTTATCATTCTCCACGACTTTGGTATGTTCGTGTCAACATACACGAAGTGCAAGATCTTGTTTTGGGTGAAAAAAACCGGTTCCCGGATGTGTATGTAAAAGCCCAGATTAATAACCAAGTTTTGAGAACAAGACCGGTTCAGGTAAGAACTGTAAACGCGTTATGGGATGAGGAGATGATGTTTGTAGCAGCTGAACCGTTTGAAGATCATTTAGTCGTTAGTATTGAAGATCGAGTGGGACCCGGTAAAGATGAATGTTTAGGGAAAGTTTATATACCTTTGAATTCAGTCGAAAGGCGTGCAGATGATAGAATTGTTCATTCGAGATGGTTTAATCTTCGAGATCCCGGTGATTATGAAAGTGATGAGAAGAAAATGAAAAAAGACAAATTTGCCACTCGGCTTCATCTTCGTGTGTGTCTAGATGGTGGGTATCATGTACTCGATGAGTCGACTCAGTACAGTAGCGATCTGAGACCCACTGCAAAACAGCTATGGAAACCGTCAATTGGGATACTCGAACTTGGTATTTTGAACGCTTCTGCTTTACAACCAATGAAAACGCGCGAAGGAAAAGGGACAATAGACGCGTATTGTGTCGCGAAGTACGGTCACAAATGGGTCAGGACACGAACCGTGGTTGACAATTTGGCACCACGGTTCAACGAGCAGTACACTTGGGAAGTGTACGACCCGTCAACCGTTCTCACCGTGGGCGTTTTTGACAACGCCCAACTCGAGAACGGGAACTCAAAAGATGTTCGGGTCGGGAAGATCCGGATCCGGATCTCGACTCTTGAAACGGGTCGGGTTTATACCCACTCGTACCCGTTGCTCGTACTTCACCCGACAGGTGTCAAGAAAATGGGAGAGATCCATTTAGCAATCCGGTTTTCGAGCACTTCTATGATGAACATGATGTTGATGTATTCAAAACCTTTACTACCAAAAATGCATTATGTGAGACCACTGACTGTCGTCCAGCTTGAAATGCTGCGACACCAAGCGGTCGGGATAGTGGCGGCTCGGCTAAGCAGAGCCGAGCCGCCACTCAGGCGAGAGATTGTTGAGTACATGACGGATGCGAATTCGCATTTATGGAGTATGAGACGGAGCAAAGCGAATTTTTTCCGGTTGATGTCGGTTTTCAACGGGGTTTTTGCAGTTAGCAAATGGTTTGGGGAAGTTTGTTCATGGAAGAATCGGATTACGACGGTTCTTGTTCATATACTCTTTGTAATGCTCATTTCCTTTCCGGAGTTGATTCTCCCAACGGTTTTTCTTTACATGTTTCTAATCGGACTCTGGAATTACTGGTTCCGGGCGCAATACCCGCCTCACATGAACACGAGACTATCGTATGCAGACGGAGTTCATCCGGATGAATTAGACGAAGAATTTGACACGTTTCCGACTTCTCGGAGTTCGGAATTGGTGAGACACCGGTATGACCGATTACGGAGTGTGGCGGGGCGGATTCAGTCGGTGGTTGGGGATATAGCGAGTCAAGGGGAACGGTTGCAGGGGCTGCTGAGCTGGCGTGATCCGAGAGCGACGGTTATATTTATGGTGTTTTGTCTTGTAGCGGCATTTGTTTTATATGCTACGCCTTTTCAGGTGCTGGTGATTGCGACTGGGTTTTATGTTATGAGACATCCTAAGTTGCGTCATAGGTTGCCGTCTGCACCGCTGAATTTCTTCCGAAGGCTGCCAGCCCGCACCGATAGCATGTTGTGAGTGTGATTTTGTGGTTTTTGTTCCAAAGATTCTTGTTTTGTGTGTGTACTTAGTATGCAATATATATGGTGGTTTCTGTGACGTAGAAAAACTTTTGGATTGTTGATATGTTTTGAAAAAACTGCATGCAAATGATGGTGTTGTTTGCAACTTGTAAGTAGGGGATGGTTTTGTTGTTGTATTTATATCATTTGTATTTCCTCGTATGTATTTACTTAGGCAAGGCTCCACATGAATTTAGCCCAAGCTGATTCTCTTTGTAATTGTTTATATATTATGACAAAATTGCAAAAATGGTCCCTGTGGTTGGCAAAATTATGTGACTTTGGTCCAAAAAAGTTTGATGGTGCGTCAGTGGTCCAATTTTGGATCTTTTTATTGTTTTTGGTCCCTATACACTTAAAAAGACAATTATGCCCTTACAATTTATATTTTTCATTTTCTTTAATTCTGGAAATGCATAAATTAATTTAATTTATATTTTTCATTTATATTTCATTTGTCTCATCTCTCTCAACAAAAGAAACACACACACACACACACACAGACACTCAAGAAACATATCACCCCTAATGGATGCCACCATTACCACCGACTGCAACCACCAACAACTACCACCGTCCGCCACCATCACCATTGGCTGCCATTACTATCCATTACAAACAACTAATCCCATCCTCGCCCATCTTTCTTTCCTCAGACCTGGATGAAATTTCCCCACCAGAACCACCCTTCTGATTGGTGTTGTCCCTACCAAAATACCACCACTTCCATTTTTCAATGATTAGGGGTTTCAGCCACCACCACCACCACCACCATAGAAGATGACGACATCGTCATTCACCACCATTGTCTTTCTCAACCATTATTCGCCACCAACCACCATCATCTCCCCCACCCTCACCTCCTCGCCGTTAACCAGATGACCTTCACCATTGACCACCAAACCACCGTTCATCGATTTTTTCCAAATGCCTCTCAATCCTATAAGACTTGAAACATAAGAAAATCAGGGGGTGATTGATTCGAAAGGGGTTGAAAAGAACCTCAAATGTTTCATCAAAAGTACAGAGAAATGAAAAATCTTCTACCTAGCTAGATAGAGCAAAAATCGAACCTCGTATAAAATCTTTAAAGACATGTCAACTACGAGAGTCTTAGAGAGAAAAACACTAACTTGTTTCTATCAGATTCTTAGTTTTGGCGATATACAGGTCCGATTTCATAGTTTTATTTACATATCTGAATTCTAGAATTTATGCTCCTTGATGATGGTCAGATGATTTTGTATTGCCCAGATGTATTTGAACTTACCCCTCTTGGTGCAAATCGAAAACCCAGAAGATGATCCTATCTGATTTGCGTTTTTTTATTCTTTGGTTTGGGTTTTTTTTAAGGTATTGGATGTGTGTAACGGTCTAGTTTGTAGATCTGGAAATGAACATTTTGAGCTATCGGAGAAGACGAAGGGGCAGTGGTAGATGGGTCGCGTCATTGGAATTTTCATCTGGGTCACAAGCTACCGTCACCGGAGTTTGCTAGGGGTGGGTGGTGTTGCACAAGTAAGGGGCTGCAATGGTGGTGTAGGCGGTGGTTTTCGAGAATCTGTAGAATACAGGGAGAGGGTAGACCAAGTACCGATTTTGGTGTTATTAAGAGAGAGAGAGAGAGAGAGAGAGAGAGAGAGAGGTGGGTTATAGTGGGTGATAATTTAATTTTCTTTTTATTTTAAATAATATAATAGGAAATTTAATAAAATAAATTAAAAATGAAATATTTCAGGGCATATTGGTCATTTTATGTTGGGTGTGGACCAAAACCACAAAAAAATGACAATAAAGGGACCAAAACCGTAGAAGGTATCCAAAATTGGACCACTGGTACACCGTCAAACTTTTTTGGACCAAAGTTACATAATTTTGCCAACCACAGGGACCATTTTTACAATTTTGTCATATATTATTGTTAAAATCTTAATAACAAAGAGGAATTAATGTCAAATAGACGTGTGTTTGTGCAAAAGTTAATTATTATGTAATAAAAAATTACAATTATCAAATAAAATATTTATGTTTAGATCTTATATTTATATTGTTTGTTTATACATTTGATGTAAATTAATTAATATCAGTATCTATTTTAACAAATTAAATTTCTTAATAACCATCTTTAATTCACGTCTTTAAACTTTTGTCAAGTATGAATAATTTATTTATGTATAATTGATTTGTACAAAAAAAAAATGTACCTTATACCTCTTAAAATTCAAGATATGACTGGTATACTTTATATAGTATAAGATTATTGTCTTGTAACATGGTAGTAGAGCAAAATTGATTCTTTTTTCTTTAAACCTTTCTTCCTTATCTTCTAACGCTAGTCGTGGCCTCCTAGCCTTCAGCAACCAACTCTTCTCCTATTTCTTGACTATAGCATTCTCGAGATCTCTCCCTCTCTTTTATTATGGTGGTGAAAATACTACTGGGAAACCTTATTGCATGACAAACATAAAATGATTGTGATGCATTGTGTGAGTTCACGTGAGTTGTTTGAAACTCACTACAATGGATTTGGAGTCTCCGATTGTCTACAAAAAAAATGACAAAGCCCATGTAACCTTAGATAATGTAGAATGGAGTACGATTGACTCCATAGTAAAGATTTGGATTTATGGTACAATACACAGGTCATTGCTTCATATGATTCTCCATAACAAAGTCACTGCAATGCAAGTTTGGATCGATCTTGAAATTCTCTTAAGAGACACCAAAGATGCAAGGCGATTTAGTTGGATAATGAACAAGAATCAAAACTATTGTAAATCTTCTTCACAATATCGATGCAACGGTCTCGGAAAGAATCTTGTAACATATACATTTATTGGTCTTTCGTCAAAATTCGAACATATTGTCGGTCTCATTCGCCACAAATCACCCCTTTCCACATTCTTGGAAATCCACTTAATGCTCTTGCTTAAAGAACAACGTAGGAATCAAATTCAATCCCACAACGTCTTGTACAACCCAGTTCTCTATTTTTTCGGCATTTAAGTTCTAGTAGTTTCCTTCCTTATACGAACAAAAAATTGTCTCATCTTTGTCATGCCCAAGGGCGGATGTGAGATTTTATAGTAGGGGTGTTACGAGAAATTTTAGTTGTGTTATGATAATAGAAAAATTCAAATTTTTTGCACTATATCCGGAAAAACCAGATGTTGTCGGTGCCACTACGGGGACCATAGTAAAACCACCGGTGGTCATGCCTATCAATTAGGAACACACATGTGATTACCATTTACTCTTATCAAAATTAAGTGTTGGGTTTCCTTTCTCTCATGGATTATAAGTAGGGATGTCAAAAACCCCCTGTGGGACCCCGCTCTCGTATGACCCCGATCCCGTACGAGACTACATTTAAAAAAAAAAATCGGGAGCGGGGGCAAAATTAAACCCCGCTTATTTTCGGGACCGGGGTCGGAAGTTGGTATTTTTGTCCCGTACTCTTGTGGGGGCCCCGGTTGTATATTTATGTAAAAAAATATATATTTAATATAAAATACTTATACAAAATAAATTTTCTAATTTTAGGTTTAGGTTAGGTTTCACTTTCTCATTTCCAATTAATAGATATTGAAGAGGTGGTGAATTAATCATATATTTTTGAATTTATCATATTTTATATTTTTAATATTGTTGGAATTGTTGTTTTGTAATGTTGGATTCGTAATGTTGGATTTTTTATTTTTTTTAGTTTCTAAAAGATTATGTTTTAAACTTTTAAAGTTATTAAAAATAGGGTTTTTAGCCTAAACCAAAGTAGTTGTTTGGCAAAAAAACCGAATTTTAAACCTATAAACCGGGGGAACCGAACCGAACCGATATTGATTATGATGAGACATTGAGTAGGGGTGAGCAAAACCGAACCGGTGAACCCGGAAACCGAAAATCAACAAAAACCGACTAAACCAAAATTGAAACCGTAAAGGAAACCGAGGGTTTAGGTTTGGATTGTTCAAAAACCGAAAATTTTCGTTTAGGTTTGGTTTTTACATATGGTAAAACTAAAAGACACTGAACCGATTTCATAAAATGTTTATAAATATATATATATATATATATATATATATATATATATATATATATATATATATATATATATATATATATATATAATATAAATAAGTTTAGCATAATCGAGTTCAAGTGATTAAGGTGTTGCACCTTTTGAATATGAGGTGTAAGGTTCAAAACTTAGCATCTACATTTCCTTGTTTTATTTTTTCAAACAGAGTGCATCCATCCCACATTCGTTGGAGCATTATATAAGGATTTGTCTTTACTCTATTGTTGAAGTCATCCCATATCATCAAAAGGATGTAAGATCAGCCCATGTTGATGCTTATATAGTTGATAGTTCAAGTTTAAGTTGGCTTAAGGTGATTTAAACTCATTAAACCTAAAAAGTCGAATCGAGACCACAAACCCATCGGTTTGGGTTCAATTTATTTAAGACCGATGTTATTGGTTTCGATTCGATTTTAGGTCATAATCGACCCAAACTGACCCATGTACACTCCTACCTTTAGCCTAGTGGTTAAGCCAACTATCATCAAACCCGTTCTTTTTTTCAATGCCTCATAACTGGCCTATTAGTCAATTTGATGTAAAGAATGTCTTTTTTTCATGTTCATGTTCATGAGACAATATACATGCATCAACATCCAAATTTCCTAGAACCATCTGCACAAAATCATGTCTATCTATTACAAAGATGTCTTTATGAGCTTAAACAAGCTCCAACGGTTCTATCGGTTTGCATAATTTATTATTTGGCTTTAATTTATTAACGGTCATTATGACTCGTCTCTTTATATCTAATGGTAGGGCCCTCATGTTGCTTACATCCTTCTGTAAGTAGATGATATTATGTTGATTGCCTTATCTCCTCAGTTTCTTACTCATGTCATAAATATGTTTATAGTTTCATTTTATTTACTTCTT